TGGTATTTGGAAAACATCACCTGCAAGAGAGGCACGTTGTGTTTTGTACAGCACCTCTTGCTTTTAAGGGTAAGACAGCATTGTGCTTCGGGAGGTTTCTCCCTTGGAGACCACCTGTCTCCTGGAAGACAGTGCCAAGTCTCTAAAGAGGACTGGCTCCTGCCTCAAAATCCTCAACCCAGTCTGCACTGACAGGGCTCCGGGTTAACCCCGAGGTTGGCAGGTTCCTGGACTTGTAGGTTCTTTCCTCTTCCTCGCAGTACCTCACTGGGTACCCCCTGAACAGAAGCTATGCCTGTAGGCTAAAAGCCTTTTTATAAAGGACTCCATCGTCTTTCTGCAGAAACTTACTTTTTACTCAGCTAGCTAAGTATTGGTCTAAACAATACTGAGATATAGGTTGGAAGGAATGTCCTCCCAGCGCAGCACATGTGCACAGGTGTCCAGGAAGTGCGTCTGGAGGTCAGGTTGCGTTGTCCAGTCACTTGCAAACATGGTTGTTGTTTTCCACTAAAATAATGTCAGTCCTCCATTATCCACTGGTGGTCAGGGGAGCCGGGGGTCAGGTTCGTGGGCAGCTGGAGCCGTGCAGAAGGCCACTGAGAAGGGCAGAGGGCCAGACACACACAGCTCTGCCTTCTTGATGGTCAGCTATTTTGCCAACCTCCAGTTCTGTCAAAAGCAGGGCAGATGGAGCAAAGTAGGGGCAGAGACAGCGACTGGGGCTGCCTCGGCACAAATATGGTTTTGCCTTGAAACTCCACTTCTAGGTGTCATTGTTATTTTCTTACACAACCACTGGCAAAATTCTAAATGTGATTATTATTCAGAGATCTAAGCGGTTATTTCATTTGCGGTTCTGGCACGTTTTCTCCAAGGTTGGGTTCAAGAGTTTAATGGGAGTCAGCCTGGACTTAAGCACGGGGCAGGATGGAGGTGCAGGCGCCCTGGGCGTTATGGCCATGACGCACTGCCCGCTGCCCCTGGCCCGGGCCCCTAGCCCAGGCAGGCGTCTCCTCCACCGCCCTAGGGGCAGCGCCTGCCTGGAGAACCCCAGGACCAGCCCCAGACCTGCCCTCCCAGCACCTCCAGCTTCGGGGACCACCACAAACCCGTGCAGCCCGAAGGCCCCTCCACACTAGGACAACTTCCCGAGGGGAAGCATGAACCCGAACTCCAGCTCTGCAGATGTTTGATAATTTGGGGGTAAGTTAGAGAAGTATGGGTGGCAAGAGAAAGGCAGTGGGGTGGCTCGGAGAGGGCCGGGGCCAGCACCAGACCTCCCCGGGTGCGGACATGTCTTGGGGCCGCTGGGGAAGGGCGGGCTAGAGCCGTCGTGAGAGGGCAGGGCCTAGGCAGCAGGGAGAGGTCACCCCAGCACCTGCCGGCGTAGTTTCTTGCTTACACATATAATACAAAGTTAATATGAGAATATCAAAGACTAGCACACATTGTGTTATAACTATTAAAATGGACATGTGATACAAATGAACACAGAAAAACAATGCCGTTTGCGGCGGTTCAGGGTTTACATTTTTGGCCCTCACTTTCTCTTTTTGGGTTTGTCAGCTGTATACTCAAGACTTAGGTTGAGGTTATCTCAGAGCAGTTAACAGCCGTTAAGAGGAAAATAGTGTTCTTAAAGAGGATGGAGAACACTTTTTTAAGCTAGAGAATGGATCCAGTTCAAGATGATAAAAGGATGTTAACACACTTACCTCCTCCTCATCCTCTCAGATAGCTAGAAAATCTGTCTGGAGACCAGAAGCGTGACCTCACGTGACCTTCTGAAGACAGAGGCAGCTGGAAGGTGAGCAGCTGCCCTGGCAGGTGTGGGCAGGCGGGCAGAGCACTGAAATGGCTCCCAGTGCTAGGATCATCCGTATCACCTGGAGACACCCTAGAGTTTCAAATTCAGGGGGTCTGAAGCTCAGAATCTCCATTTCTGACAAGCCATGCATGGCTGAGCCTCCGACTCCCCCTCCCAGGGGGGCCTCAGCTGCACCCAGCACGGAGCAGGACCTGGGTGAGGGCTGGGCTCCTGGTGGGCACTGGCACCCAGGGAGAGGCACGTCTCATATGGGCTGTCTTAGGAGCCCAAGGTCCTTCATAAAAACAAGTGAAAGCATTCATTTTCATAAAAATGAACTGTCCCACCGCTCCCTGGCTCTTCACTCACAACTCTATCTTTACCTGTATTATTAGAACTTAATGTAACTGTGCTAAACTGATTGCAATATAGTGATGGCTCCTTAATTCCTTAAAATTCTCTTTGAGAGGCAGGAGAAAGAACTTCCTGTTTAGTGTCAAGTAAACAGAGGGAAGCAAGGGACAGAATGACAAGTTTATGGATCTGTCTGCCTTTCAATGACATCCGTCATTGTAACCCTGCGGCATCGTTTACGAGCTCTTACTACACCATAAATTCTTTTTAACATTATATATTCTTAGAAAATACCCTACACAGGACACGTCAGGAATGTTGTTTTAAAGCAGGCAAGACGATTTACTTTAGGACTTTCTATGCCCGCTGGCACACTGGGCGAGTTGTGACAGAAACGCTGTCAGACCAAGCCCATTACCCACCTGGCCATTTTTATTTATTTTGGTCAAAGTACTTTGCTTTAGGATCACTAAAAAAAAAAAAAAAATCACCAGAAAAAACATTGACCAAACAGGCTTAGTATTCATTTTGTTTTTTTGAAATATGTTTTTAAGTAACATTAATTTTATTTTTATTTTTATTTTTTAATTTTACATGTTACCCTTCCACACATTTTTCCATTTACTTCTGGTGGGGAGGCTCTTCCTAATAACTTCTGGGCCTTTTCCACTGGCAGCATTTGACAATGGGCAGGACTACAGAGCCCTCTAATGGCTACTGTGCAATTCTTTCCAGTCCCAAGTACAAATTTTTGTTTTTTAAAATTAAATTTGCTGAGTTACACTGCCACATCCTATCTTAAAAGACAAATTAAGCAATATAACTAACCAAGTGCTCTCACACACAGGCTGATTTTGTGCGTGGGATGAAAAGCCCAGGCTTGTGCATCATTGCGCAGGGGCAGGTGTGCTCAGGACTCAGCCCACTTCCACTTGTCCTCTTCACCCCTTTCCTGCACCCGACCAACAGCTCCTGGGCTTCCTACACCATCATTGTACGAGGACTAGAACGGCCATTGTGGCTGGGCCAGCCTGGCTCTGGGTCCCTCACACTCGGCACTGCACTGACCCAGTACCTGTGAGGTACGTGGACAAGGACTCCACTTATTTTCTTGGTCAAGTGATAAAACCTTACAACAAAGTTCTGCTTGGGTATCAGAAATCACAAGCAGCTTAAACCCAGTTCACTCTCAAAGTGACAGTAGCACAGGTAACTTGAACCCACAACACGGAGTGGAGGCTGACAAGTCTAGGAGGCACCATGGCTGTCAGAACACAGTGACCAGGAGACGGCACTGGCACTGCCACAGCAGGAAACCGTCAGTTCTGCACATGTTTTGCGATCATCAGGAACAGAACTGTTCTAATCTGAACCACTTGACAACCCACTCAACTAGGTACAACTTCCACAACAGTGTGAGCAAACTGTGAGAGCACTGCGCCGCTCTCCCTTAATGCCCATGTCTGCAGCCACTCCACACCTGTCACTACGTGGGAAATGCTCACCAAGGTCACTGTCACTCACCCACACTCCCCTCACCAGCTTCCCAGGAGCCTGGTACTGGCCAGGAAACGGCCCAGGTTATGCCCACACACCTCCAGCATGGCCTTCTGTTGTGTCCACTCTCCCACATCACCTCAGCCTACAGCAGGAACTGGCAGGAGGGATTTTCCTCTCGAAGCAAACACAAAACACACACAGCTCTGAATAGCCTCCACATAAGACCGGTTTCCAAAGCGCTTCATCCTTTCTACAGAATTTTGCCTACAAAGACTCTCTGCCACCTCCGCTTGGATGTCTCCTGGTTCCATGTCCCAAATGAGAAGCTTGGCATTGATAATTTCTACCACCAAACCTGTACACCTGTCCCTAACTCCAGGAGCTCAACTCAGTAACCCAGGAATCCCAATTCTTCCCTGTCCCTCGCCCTGACTTCATGAGCACGACGTTGATTCTGCCACTGAGACAGATTTTAAATCTGCTCCTTACCCTCTGCCCCACCAAGCCCTGCCTCCACCTGCTAGCCACTCCCTGGCACCTCTTACCTTTTGCCATCCTTTTGCCTCAGCTCAGCCTTGGGGAACCTTGCTCAGCTCCCCTGCGAGGCTTGACTACCATTCAGCGTGACTATGCCACCAGGGGTGGTCAGTGACTGGCCCATCCCTCTGGCTGGCCTCACAGACATCAGCCCTGTGCTTTGGCACGCAGAGGTTTCGCTCCACCCAGGGCTTCTGTTTTCAAAGCTGGTTCTCTCCTCCCAGTCCTTGTAATGTCCCTTCTCGGAGAGCCTCCCGGACCAGCACGAGGAAGAGGAGTGCTGTTCCGCTGCTATTCTCTGCTGCAGACCCACACGATTTCATCTTCGCAGTTACCTCAGCTGACAATTGTTCCGTTTATTAGGTGACTACCTGTTTAGGGTTCTCCTCTCACCACAGCGCACGGCTCTTTGGCAATCTGGCTCTTCCCAGTGAAGCAACTTGCAAGCTCCACACACGCTGGTGGAAAGAACGACTCCAAACCAAGAGAAAGCTTCTAAAAGACTGAGTGACTGGTGAACTTCAATTATCTTTGTTATAGCTGTTATAGTTACTTAAGAAAACATAAAAAGGGATAGCAAAATAGTTGTCAAATTGTATGCAATTAAAAAAAAATCCAATCACGAGCACTTAATCATCTGGTATCTGGTATCCCTAAAGGGCTGTCAGTGAACCCTCAAAACCAGCTGAATCCTGGCGTCCACTATCTCCACACCTGTGTGTATCGCCAGAAAGCAAGTGTCCTTAGAAATGGCCATTTCTTCTGTCTGTGGTTAGAGTATTTTCTTCATCTTTACTAATCAGAACAGTAACAAGCATGGCTTACTTTTATTTTTTATTATAAAACACATACAAGAGTTTTAAGAAATGATGAATATAAGACAAATCAGAACCACGGTGAGTTATTAAACCCATTTTCTATATACAAATACTAGAATTCCCAAAGTGGAACATCATCAAATGTGAGACACATCATAGCACAGTATGTACACAGCGCACAGGGCGTGGCCTGCGCGCACCTCTGAGTCGCTCACACACGTCACTGATACACAAACCTGCCAGGGAAATTTTCTTCAGTTCTCCTCTTCCTGATATATAGTTAAATATTTTTAAGGAATTTAGAGATATAAAGAAAATGCATTAAAGTGAGTTTCTGCTAGGGGCCTCCGTGTTTCACTCTGACAAACTACACACTACCTCCTGAGAAGACTCTCATAGCCCATTCCCAGCTAACAAGTGGAAAGCTCTTCCTGGCCTTTGTGGTACCAATTTATTTCTTCCCAGTCACTTGTTTGAGCACAAATCCCAAAACAGTTCAGGAACCAAATCATGTTTTTATATTGGTAAGTTCATTATAAAATGCCACTCAATTTTAAAAAGCCACTAAAAGGACACTTTCTGCAGCAAAAAAAGGGCTAAATTCAAGTTTCTGTTGTTTGACCAAGACACGGTAATACAATCCACATGCCACATGATCACAATAGCCTTAAGTGAAATGCATGTGATTTAGGGAAAAACAACTGTGCAAATGTTTGTTTCTCCTGCCTCCTTGCCACACAATCAGGAGAGCCTCTTGTCAGTTTATCTGTGTTGCCTTTTCTTTAAACCTTCCTTTTTATCTGAAAGCTGAGTAATCTATTTATATTCAAAATGTGTCAAGGCACTTCTCCATCTCCAGCCACATGGCCTAGCCTGTGTCAGCCGAGCTCCTCTGCGCTTAGGGCGCTGACTTCTTCTAGGTAGCTGAGGATTGCAGATGGGATGCTTTTGGAGGCCTCTCTCCGCCAAGCTTCCAGGATCTTGGAAATTTCTTCGGGATTGCTGGGACTCAAGTCACAAAGAGCATATACGGCTGCCAACTGTATACCCCATGGTATGTCTGCAAAGAAATTTTAAATCAGTTATAGTACAATACAATATCTACTACTTAAAATTTTTATTTTTTTATATCTTTTTTTTGCAGTTTTTGGCCAGGGCTGGGTTTGAACCCGCCATCTCCAGCATATGGAGCCAGCGCCCTACTCCTTTGAGCCACAGGCGCTGCCCTACTTAAAATTTTAGTAGGGTTATTTACTGAAATACTATCCAAATACAGAAAGGTTTTTGCTTCTGCCAGCAGTGACAATTAAATCAAGCTCACAATGAAAATTTAAGACCTAGCTAAAAATAAAAATAAAATCATCAAAGATATGACTCTATTATATATCCACCTGAAGTATTTATAAATGGACTTTGAAAATGAGAACCTAAGTGAAATGAAATGAAAAACTGTCCTTGTACCCCACTGTCATACCAGAGTACAGCATATGATTCTACATTATAAACAAGTTATAGTATATTATTGCAGCTCTCTTCTAGGATAAGTTTAAGTTAAATTAAAGCTTAATTTAGTAAAAATTTAAATTACTTAATTTAGGTTAAATACATATAAAAATTATTTACTTACAATTTATTACTAATGACAATACAGGTTGAGTATCCCTACTCCACAAAATCCAAAACTTTTTGAGCATCACTATGAAGCTCAAAGGAAATATATCTTGGAGCATTCTGAATTTTGGATTTTCAGATTAGGGATATTCACAAATATTCCAAAATCCAAAACACTTTTGGTCCCAAGCATCTCATATAAGGAATGGTCATCCTATGTATCAGTTCTCTCCAGCAGGGCAAACCAGTACTACAGCAAACCACACACACGTCCCAAAGCCCCACACCCAACGTCAGTGCTGAGAACGCTGCAGAAGTGCAGCTCTTACAACTGCTCCCTCTAATCTACAAGGAATGGGGGAGGCAACAGTGCACAGCATGCAAGTACAAGAAAGCAGAGGCCAAATAGACAATGTGAGTGAAAGGGAGTCCTGTGCGCTGCTCAAAGAGCCCGGGCTCAAGTCAGACAGAACAGGTGAATCGCTGGGTGATGCTGCTGAGCCTTGCCTTCAGCAGATGACTCTTCTCTCCGGGCTTTCTTTTCCCCGTGTGTAAAATAAGGGAGACCACTCACCACAGCAGATTGCCTTGGGCATCCTGCTATGCTGAGAGGCAGCTCCAGGCACAGGGTCTCACAGCAGGACCCACCAGGAGCTTCTCCCTCCTCACACTCTGAGCTTCTGGGTTACACCCAGCCCAGTTCACTGTAACCTCAAACACCTGGGCCTAAATGGTCCTCCTGCCCCAGTCTCTCTAGGAGCTGGGACTACAGGCGTCCACCACTACACCTTGCTAATTTTTTCTATCTACTCTTAGTGGAGACAGGGTCTTGTTCTTGGTCAGGCTGGATCATTCCTCGATCTCCTGAGCTCAAGGGATCCTCCCGCCTCGGCCTCCCAGAGTGTTGGGATTACAGGTGTGAGAGCCACTTGCCCAGCCCCAGCTACTTTCATGTCATATTCATTCTAAATGGTAAAAGAGCACAGTTTTCTATGGAAGAACATGCAGGCTTCAGCAGCTATCCTGAAGTTGAAGGGACCTCAGAGAAAGCACCTCACCAAGGGACACTGTGCTCAGCACATCAAGTCTCACACTGAAAACTGAGGACCAAGAACCTGCCACCTTAAGATTATCTTGGGTGTCATGCAGTACTCAAGATGTCATATTGTGCATTTCTGATAGGATGTTGTTTAACTACATTATTTTTTGATTGCACAATACTCAAAACAGAGACTAGATTCATCCCTTATAAAAGGTGACTTTGAGTTAAGGTTCTCCCACAAAAGAGTAAAACATGGAGTTACGTGCTGCACACACTGCAAATGTGACGGAAAGCCCTGCCAGGAAGACCTGCTCAGTCTCCAGCGTGTGGAGCTCTCTGGAGGGTGAGGCCTTGGTGGTAGCTGGCACCTCACTGGTCACTTCTGCTTTACACGTGTGACCTCCTCTGGCCTTCAGGACACAGCTGTCCCCACGAGGCCTCCCATAGAGCCCATTTAAATCACTTCTTGTGGATCAGTGGCACAGAGTTTCTGAGACAGAATGCTAGCTCCACGGGGAGAAGGGTGTTCCCTCCTTCTCAGAGAAGAAGTGTTGCCCAACATGGGGAACTACTGCCATTAAACAAACAAACACAAGGCCCAGACACACATCCAGATACTAATGCTGAAAATGTTTGTGCAAACATCTCCCATCCTGCAAGGCAGCCAGAGAAGCATAGAGCACAGCACATAGCAAAGGCTCCAAACACAGTTTAATAAGAGAAACACAAGTGATTCATAAGGAATTTTAACAAACAGGAGTTTTACCTTCATCCTGAGCATGCTGTATAAACATACCAATAACCGAACTAATATTTTTCACAGCAGATGGAAATCCTTCCTTCAAACCCAATTGGCCTAAACGACCTAGGGAAACACAGTAAAGCAAAATGTGAAGCGTCTTTAGTTAAATGTTGATCAACCTTTCACAATTCGAAGAATCATTTGTCTTAGAGGAGGTAATCAAAGTGCCCCATCATCCCTTCTTTCATCCAAACGTGTAAGACGAGATTCAATGTGTGGCTTTCCCAGTTAAGTTACAAGGTAGTACGTGGAATCTACAGGGAAGAATGTAGGGACACTGTGAAGTAGCCAGTGGGCTAACAGATCAAAAGGAGGACTGTGGCTGCCTTCCTCTGACTCTGCCTGTGGCTGCCTTCCGCTGACTCTGACCCTGGCTGCCTTCCGCTGACTCTGACCCTGGCTGCCTTCCGCTGACTCTGACCCTGGCTGCCTTCCTCTGACTCTGACCCTGGCTGCCTTCCTCTGACTCTGACCCTGGCTGCCTTCCGCTGACTCTGACCCTGGCTGCCTTCCTCTGACTCTGACCCTGGCTGCCTTCCGCTGACTCTGACCGTGGCTGCCTTCCGCTGACTCTTTTTTTGCGCAGGACAAAGGCTCTGGAACATAACTGGGATGTATGATAATATCATATTGGCTCACTGTGGACTGAACTCTGACCTTTTTTCTCCTGCCCAAATTCCTTGCTAAGGGGCCTTATAAGTCATGCCTACAAACAATAAAGGCTCACACAATGGGCTTTATTAACCCAGTATAATACGGTTTATTTTCCAACCTGATTTCAGTATAGCAACACATGTCAGACAGAAGCCCCTCACCTTAACTCAAGCATCCTAGCAGATGCTATCTTAACCATTCCTTTCTACTGCCTCTAGAGCTTTAGACAAAGCCCACCTCTTTCAACCAATTGCCAATTAAAGAATCCCTAAAACCCACTGATGACTTGTAAGCCCCCAAATTCAAGACATCCTACCTTTTCAGGCTGAACTAATGTGCTTGCATGTGCTGACTTACGGTTTTACCTATAATTCCTGTGTCCATGAATATCTAAAACCACACTGCAACCTGACAGCTTCAGGTGCATTTCTTCAAGAACTCCTGAGGGTATGTTTTCCTGGGCCAAAGTCACACACATTCAGTTCAGAATAAACTTTTTAAAATTATTTTACAGTTTTGGTTTTTCTGTTTGACATCGTATTTTCTCTTGATACTACAAACATTCCACAGGTTTACAGTGAACCCAGAATAGGAGCCTCAACTCTATTTTAAATTTGAAGAAACTAAAGCATACAGCATTTAAGTAATTTGTATAACTTTGCATCTTCTGCTGCTTACATGCGTCCTGTTTGACATTTAGCAGATATTCAGTGAACAATTACTGATCAAAGAACATCAAGATGAAGAACTAGGAATATTTGCTAATTTACTTGAGACTCACAGTTTCAGGTTATTGACCAGTTTTAAGTTTTAATATCTCTTTATGCCAAACACAGAGGCTCATGTCTGTAATCCTAATGCTTCTGGAAGCCAAAGTGGAAGTACTGCTTGAGTCCAGGAATTTGAGTCACACATTGAGACTCCTATCTCTTAAAAAAATGCAAAAATTAGGAGCATATGGTGCCATGATTATAGTACCAGCTACTCAGGAAGCTGAGACAGGAGGGTCTGTTGAACCCAAGAATTTGAGATTGCAGTGAGCTGTAACGTAGTCTAGCCCAGGCAACAGAATGAGACCCTGTCTCAAAAATAAATAGATATATGTATATATCTTCGCAATTAGAACAAACTGCTAATGGTCTCGTGAAACAATCTACCCAAGGCATTGAACTGCAGAGAAAGGGGTGTGTGTCTAACACAGCTGTGGGATCATGTAACCACTGGATGTGCATTTTATTTCCAGATAATATATGGCCATATTATAACGGCTCCCTTTCTTTCAATTAACAGCACATAATGAAACTGGGTTTTATAAGCTATTTAAATTAATGGAGCTATCAGAAATGAAATAAGAGGAAATTAAGAGTCTGGGTAGATGATTTGGGGATGAAGACTCAATATATGGTGACTTGACAAGGATGACAGACAAATTGGTTCAACAAGGGGAAGAAAAATCCCTACAGAAGGTACGTGAGGCAGTTAGGACCAGCCCACTGGAGTAGAATCCAAGTGAGAAGCACAGAGCTCAGCTCCAGGTGAAAGACAAAGCTCTCACAGCACAGTCAAGGCAGCTGGAGGCGAGGACGGCTGGCTGAGGTGAGTCCATAAGGCAGAACTAGAGACCAAGATAAAGACACTAGGGCTTTCGTTGAAGATTGGTGCAAGTTTGCTAAGGAGAGGCGAGACTGAGGCAATTTCAAAGAAAGAGTTGAAAGACCTCACAAGAGATTGGCTAGAAATCAACAAGTAATGGCTACCTCAGTCCAACTGAAGAAATGGGAGACAATTTTCCTACCTTCGAGGTTCAGGGTAATAGGCCATATTATTCCAAATTTTATATGCTCTTTGAGGACAGAAACATGACTGAACCCAGTGGGGGACAAATTCCTCCCAGCCCTGCCACGTCCCCTGACTGGCCTCGGATGAGGGCTTAACTTTCCTAGACCTCAACTCTGCCAGGAAACAAGAAGCGTGAAGATTAGATTGAGTTCCGTCAGTCCTCCAGAGTTCTAGGCATCTAAAGCAATCAGCCATTCCACAAAACAGTCTTCAATGTATTTGCTAATAGCAGTGACCATAGCTCAACTTAACATTAGATGACACTGGATTATGTTGACACAAAGTCTGTTTTATTTTCCATGGAGCAAAAACCTCATTATAAGACTTTGCAAATAAAGATTTTAAATAAATAACATAAACTTTTGAATAAAGAATAAAGAGAATTCCCTTATTTTATGATTGGCATGTGACTTCAGTGGAATCATACCAAGTTAATTTTTACTCAATTCTTCAGTAAGATCAGGTTCATAAACAGTGAGAAGGTATACTAAAAGAGTTTCTTCTTAAAAACAGCCCTTACTTGGACCCTCGGCCTGTCCTTACCACACAGCAAGTGCTGGTGTCAGGGCGTGCTAGTGTCAGGGCGTGCTACTGCAACATGAAAAGGACCAAGAAACCAAGCAGCGTAGAGCTGGGCTACTCTCGGGCACCAACCCCCACACAGGCCAGTTCTGCTGTGTCCCCGTCCCCAGGCCCACCCTGCTCATGCAGGCCAGCTCCACCAGCAGACACAGGCATGCTTAGTCTTCCTGACTTTGCTTTAATTTTCCACATTGCACTTTCCCTCTAATTTCCCATCCTTTAATCCATATTACTACATTTACCTATTATCATTTTATCATATGGCATGCCAATTAGACATTATTGTTACTATTCTGTCAATATACGCACATTACTCCAAATGTGCATCATTAGTCGTAAATTATTTGGCTATCTTTCAACGGCCAGAATTTTAAAGATTTAAAGCATAAACTGCTTGATTTCACAAAAATTACAAGTCAAGTTTTCCGATACTTATACATTCTTTTTTTAAAACTACTAATACATTCTTATTAATTCAGATATGGCAGAATGATTTTGAAGTATTTCTTCTTTTTCTATTGTCTATCAGATTAGGCATGATCTGCTTTTTGAAATTATCTTTTATTTTTATTTATAAATATTAGTTGTCTATTTTTGAGACTTTGGAAAAAAAATAAGTTAATGATGACTCCATATTGAACCTCAGAGTCAAAGCATTCTATAATAGGCATACTCTTAATGACAATGTGAATGTTACTTAATGCTGTCTTGTGTACACCACCGAAGGCACCTACACAGACCACACTGGCACAACCCGGGGTATAGGTTAAAGCCTGTCGCTCCTAGGCGACACATCTTACAGCAACCATAACACGACAGTAACTATTTATGTATCTAAACACACCCAAACACAGAAAAGGTATAGTAAAAATTTGGTATTATAATCTCATGGGGCCATCCTCATGTATGTCTTCAGCATATGACTGTATGTGTGTCTCATTTAAGACAATCATTACCTTTCCAAACCTACCTCATCACTGACACAACTGCAGGGCTGTGCAGACACAACTCTAAAGTAATCCTATCAGAACCTCCGAGGATGAAGCCTGAAAATCTGTATTTTTGAAAAAGCTTCTTAGGCAATTTGGATGAAGACCTAAATTTGGTAATGCCAGATGCTAAGAGCTAACTGGAAAAGGCAGTGGGCAAGTCAGTAAGAAGACTCGTGTGTCCGGCTGGTCCTCCTTTATAGACAGAGAGGCTGCTTCCACCACTGCCCCCACAATCGTCACTCTTATTCTCTCTCTTATTACAATTAATACAGAAATACAACCATTCCAAAATAAACAGCACAAACTACCACATCTTAAAGTGTGGCTTTAGCCTTAAAACATCACTCCTACTTTTTTCAATTCTCAAAAAGATTTAAGAATTTAGAATGAGTTAGTTCAAAGTGTGAACAGTTTTTCTTAAATTCCTAAAGCAAGCTGCTATTAATTTGAAATTTCCAGACATACAGATGTCACCTCACTGTTGGAAATGCCACTATTGGCCCTTCTGTGTTCCCTAATTAATTTGCATCTAGGACAGAAATTGTTCTTGAGGACATACTGAAGTCAGGCTCTCAGGAGAACAGTTCTGGGGCTGTGATCCCCTGGGTGCAGTTACTCATCTCCACGTCTGTGCCTCTGCTATCTTCTGACGTAGGTCTGCTGAATTCCTACATGATCTTTAGCAATCATTTGGTTCTCACACTCCCATTTGCTAACTCAACTCCAAGTGTATTTTGGGTTGTTTCCAGTGAAATCAGGTCTCTACCTGATAAGCAGGCTTTTGTCTTCAACAATTTTATGTATTTACTTAGCACAAGGTCACTGTATCTGCATGTGACATACACACAAAAGAAGAGGGCAAATTTGCTGACACAGGAAAAATTAGCAGGGATGTTCTACTCTCCCGTGTGATCTATTTGTAAGGCTTACTTATACAACACCTATATAACTCAAACTTACATTAACATTTATATAACTCAAATACTAGCCTTATTCAAATTAGTGTCATCTTTGAGCTTTCAATCAACTAATATACAAAGATACCTAAAAAAAGTCATGAAAACTATCTTCCAATATTTAAATGGCCACAAGCCGGAAACTGCCCAGGAACAGTGAATACGTGTGCAGACAGAGAGGCAGGTTGAAATCAGGGGGCTCTTCTAATAATCAGCAGAGCTCATCACTGATAACTCTGCAGAGTGTAGACAGCAACTTGTTGGAGATAAAGAGGGAAAACATTAAATAAAAATAAAAACTGAAGATCTGTGGGCAACAGAAAAGGAATAGAACTTTAGATCTGAGGTTAAGAAGAATTTATGTCTCATTTAAAATATTTCTAAATAATCATTTAATTTCTATAATTCACTTAAGTGATCCTTACTGGATGAATATGAAAACACTGAAGCAAGAGATATGAAGATATCTTACTTTAGAAACCAAATGAGATTATAATTTAAAGCAATTCCTATATCCTGGTATTTCTATATATGTGTAAGTACATGCATTAATATTAGCGTCTGAGAAGTGTGAGTTCAATTATAAATAAAATACACTAATGTAAAAATCTTAATCTGACAAAAACGGATGAAACACTAATTTATAAGCAAAGAGAAAGGAGGAAATTACACATAAAAGTACCTGCTGTGATGGCTGTAAAATCAGTCATGATGATGAAGCTCTGAAGTCATCATTTATTATCACACTTATGTCCCCACTAGGATATCATCAGTTACAATTAAAAAAGATCAATAAAACAGATAACTCACCAATGAGCCTCAGTATTGATGCTATAATGATGTCAGGGATATAAGCAATGTTTGCATGTCCTTTTCTGTATTTTATCCACTTATCCATTACAGGCCACAGTTCCTTACTATAAAACAACAACATGCAAAGATGTAACCTCACCATCACTCAAACAGTAAGAACTCACCTTCTAAATGGCCCAGAGAGTTAGTGAAGAAGGGTAATTCCTAAAGATCTAACATGTTAAGTTAAAAATGGGAACAGGAAACTTACATCTTCTCCAGCTACTCAGGATATCTGTATCTGTACGGAATTAAAAACACCTCAAGTAACCCAGTCTGAAAAATTACTACTCTTGTAGTTTCGGGCTTTTCTTCTGCTTACTTCTTGCTCTAAGGATATAAACCATCTGGAGAGAGCCATCAAGTGGTGAGGAAGGGAACAGGGTCCAGAGGTCTCAGCAGAGACCTTACATTCAATGCTGTCCTCATCACTGGTGTGTGTGGGGGGGGTGGGGGGGGTGTGTGCACAAAGCACATGACAGCTAGCCCAGCACCCCCACAACTAGGGATACAAGGGCCCCTGCCTCCTGGGCACCCATGAAGTGCCAAAGGGACAGGAAGCCCACAGCGGCCCTCTCACACCACCACCTAGCCTTGCACTGGATACACTGTTCTATCACTATCTATGAGATGCTTTTCCAAGTCAAAACATAAAAATCCACGTATCACTATGTATTTTAATGTAGCTATTATCTCATCATATAACTGTACTATGATTCACGCCTTATTGTTTGACATTTAGATATCTATTCTTACTGTCAAAGGAGAGAAGGTGACAAATATCCCTGTATATAGATGGATCCTTGCACAAGGTCATTTCCATAGAATATATCCTTCAAGTATCTAAATGATATAGAGTATCAACACTTTGATGCATCCTTTCTAATGTCACAAACTCCCTTATACTACCCTTTCTCAGTATAATTAACATCTAAGAAGAAATTACTTCCATGACAATTTTCCCCACTCTTTCAGAGATGGTACACAGGAAAAAGTAAATTTATTAGACACAGTGGATGCCGGAGAGGCTTAATTCTCTCCTGAAGGAAAAGAACTGCTAACCTATAATTCTGAACATTTCTGTTGCTCTGGGTTCCCCAGTATCTGCATATTAAGATAATGATCATTCTACTTTATTTAGCACTGGTTTGCCAATCACCCGCATACGTGGGCATGGCTCTACGGACTGGGGACACACCACACCCCCACAAAGCCATCCCACTCCCGCTTCCTGAGAGTCATTTCTATTGGGGAGAGAGAATAACAGAATATAACAAAATGTAGTGAATGGCAGTAAAGAAAAATCAAGCAAAGGAACATGGCAGTGTTATGGGTATTTTACAGGTAGTTTTATTTATCCTCATCCAAATAAAAATCCATCTGTAAATGTTTCAGCTGCCTTAAATGACAAAAATGATTCAACCCACAATTCAGCATTCTAAAGCAGGCATCCTCAAACTACAGCCCGCAGGCCACATGCAGCCTGCCTAGGACAATTATCCGGCCCGCCAGGTGTTTCTGCTGCCGCTGGCTGTCCTGCAGCCGACTCGTCCCAGGGCCAGCAGTCCAGCCCTCCAATGGTCTGAGGGACCGTGAACTGGCCCCCTGTTTAAAAAGTTTGAGGACCCCTGTTCTAAAGACTCCCTTAGAAGACAAACAGCCCATCTTTATATAAATTAGCAAATTATCTAACCTTATGATGTTATCATGTGTCCAAATCCATTTCTGATGGCAGCAGAGGAGATCGATGGCAAATATATATTCCCACGTAGTATCACTTAGGTCTTCACCAAATTTTTCACTAGACTGAAATTCTGTTTTTGGACATAACTGTATGGTCAAAAGCAGCTTAGAAACCATGAAGCCAACATCGACAGGAGCATTCTAGCAAAAAGAGAAAAAACAAAATAAAGTTTGGAGTCTTAAATATAACACATCTTATGTTAATTATCTCAAAGAGTATTCTAAGTATTGGATGAATAATAACAATCTTAAAAAACTTTTTGAAATGGCTGCATTTGAATAGGAAACTATCCCTTAGTCATAATACTTATATAAGATCATTTTAGAATGTAGTGATCAGCCAGATGTTTCAGCTACAGGTAGGATGCAGAATCTAATCAGTCTAACAGAGCAGAGCTGAAATCCAGTCGGAATATACATTTTCATCAACTCAAATACAAACATTCAATGGTATGTAGATGGATGCTTGCACAAGGTCCAATAGTTATCTTTAAACTATAATAAAAATATTAAACCTTTTAAAAATTCTTTAAATTTTGTTATCCTTCTGACGCTGCAGATCAGTTTGCCTTTTTCACAGCACTGACCCACACAGGTCTGCATGTTGATGCACGGCCTCCCGCACACCTGTGAGGGATGCTTTGCTATTTCTCCACACTGGTAGGTACATCAGCAGTGTGCACACCCCTTTTCACTGCAGAACAGCAGTCCGTCATATGGATATATCACTGTTTATCAACTCACCTATTAAAAGACTAATTTAGAGTTACTACCAGCTTTTGCTATTGTTAATTATGCTACTATGAAGATCCATGTTTAAGGCTCTGTGTAAACATTTCCACCAGCATTGGATCACAGTTTCAGTATAAAATAATACATACGTGATACGGGCTTAGCACACTCAAAACAAACCTCAGGCTTGAAAATTTGCTTTACCATATAAAGAGCTCAGTATGTTAACCTGTGACCTGGGCATAAATCTTCCGAAAGGTTCTCATCTGAATCTCCTGAGCTTTCTATCACATAGTCCACAACCAAATCATGGTCCAAAGGAATCTACCTGACAGCTGAAACTCAGCCAAAATGGTAAATACTCCCCCCTTCTGGAAGCCAATAACTTTGCAAGCTGAGAAGACACAGAAATAAATTTAAACACAAAGAAAATTAAACCCATATTAACTTTTTGTATTATACATTTAAGAACGTATTTTTCAGGACTCAAGAGCATGTGATAATCTGCATGTATATTATTTACCTACATAAAAGTACCAAGAATAAGCTGTATTTACATTGTGGTTACAGTTTAAAGTATTTGACATTAGAATCATAATTTTAATTAGAAATGTTTGAGAACACAATTAAGTTTATAAACAGTATTTGAATATTTGCTACAACTTCTACATCCTCAATTTGACATTTTACATTCAAGAGCTATTTAAAGTAGTGAGAAATATTCTGCTTATTAGATATGAGGGTCTAGTTTCAAGTGTTTTTGAAGAATATATCCGAAGTTTATGAATACATTAAGTTTATAAATACGACTACTTTGATGTTAATGCTAAATATGTGAATTGAAGTAACTTAATCACCAACGAAAGTAAAACACTGCTAACATTAGTCATGGTTACTTGATTTATAAATGAAACAAGATTTATGAATTTAAGGGCTTTTTGAGTTTTCCAAATTTTTATTTTTGCCTTTTTACTTTTACATTTCCCCTTTAAATAATCTTTTAACAGTTTTTGAGTGATTCAGTTTTTAAATACCTAGACATGGTACAAAACACAAAGGACTGGAAAAAAAAAAAAAGGAACAGGAGATGTAAGTCTTCCTTTCTTTTTCCACACTCAACTATCCAATTTCTCTTGATGAAACAATTGCTTTTCTTAGTTTCAGAATATTATGGAGGTAAAAACACTTTGCTTACATGGATTGCTTTTGTGCAGTTTGAGTCAAAGTTCTAAGTGTGCCCATCAACAAGACAGTGTGCAATGTCCCCTCAGGTGGCAACTTACAGCCCCCACACACACCTGCTCACTTCCCTGTGAGTTTTGCTCCCATATAAATTTACAACTTTAAAATTGAGTAGTGACGGAAGCCAAGTAGTCACTTCTCCATATGGAAGATAGTTACAGATTTTATCAAATCCAACGGAATTCCTGGCAGAGGCCACCACATACTTTCCACCTTGGCAACAAGAGGAAACCCTAATTCCTCACTTTAAAAACTATCAATAATTTAATAGAATAATTTGCATTGAATATATACTTTTGATTTTAAATAACTAACAATATTTAACAAGTTTCCTTCTATTTTCTATTCTAGGAATAATTCTATGGGATTTCTTCTTTATTTGTAACTAATAAAGAAATAAAAATAAGGAAATAAAAATTGATTTCCTGATACTGAATTCTCCTTGTTTTATTAGGATAAACTCTATTTAAAGTTTTATTCTTTAATACTTTAAGAAGTATTACTAAAACCTACTATTTTATTTACATTTTAACAACTAAATTTCTCACTTAAAACTGGTTTTTAGACTCATGATTTTTTTTAATGAGTTTATTTTTAAAAATGAACAGGGGATTAATTTTTCTTCCAGCTGAAATAGACAGCAATTACTATACTTAGTTCTTTAAAGATCAAACTCAGGTAGCACCTATACAGGTGCTTTTTGTACAGTAAATTTTTAATCATCTTCTCAACCCCTGTATTATAATTAATAATGAGCCTATTAACATGTTCTACCCCAAACACACTTTTGAAATTTTTTATTTGTTTGACACCATCCAGGTCTCCACCTGCGGCTACAGGGCGACAGGCAGCAGTCTTCCCTTCTTCAATCCCCGTCCACGTTACAGCTTCTTCCCGCTGTGAATCTTCGATGTTCTCCTCTCCTCTTTTTCATCAGTGGGGACCAGGTCATCTACCTTGTTGCGTTCCTTAAAGGCAGTGTCTCTCCCTCCTTTGTCCTCTGTTTGTCCTCTACTTCACTACTGTTGCTTTTTAAATTTTTCCTTTCTTCTAAGTTCTTTCTCATGTTTCTAATTTTTAAGATGTCAACTTCAATTACTGTTTGCTTAACAATGAAGACATGTAAAATATCTTAATGAGTAAACACTTTCAAGAAAGGAGAGATTTTGAAGAGGTTTCCTTTTCTCTGACCTCTGAAGACTGTGGTTGTTACTTTCCTTATTCTGTTTGTTCCCAGGTTGTCCACGACTGCACATCTTAAAGTGAATATAAAGATTTTTTTTAAGGGAGCTTGAAATTATGTTTAATTTTACTGGATTATTACCAAGAAATTTAGAATGCAGGATTTTTATTTTTTTAAAAATCAATGTTTATGTAGCCAAATTATGCCTGATTTTTGTCAATGTGTCATGGACATAAGAAAAATTATATATTCTTCTTAAAAAAAAATACTCTTCACTCTCATTGTCCTTAGACTTCTGTGTCCTGTTTCCTTTTGTAGACCAGATCTGCTTAATTTTACAAAAGAGGATGTAAAAATCCCAGACCATCGTGGTGTTTTTTCCCAAGTATTTCTGACCTTTCTTACAGTTTTGACTTCATATTTTTATTTGGTATGATATTTACATATTTACTAAAATAATATTGTTTCCCAAGCAGTGTCTTTTATCATCAAGTCACCATATCCTGGTAAATTATGAACAGGCAAAAAGAGACGGGCTCTGGTGTGCGAGAAGGACCAAGCAAGAGCAGGGCATCGCTGAAGGGTTAATGCGCCAGGGAGGAAGCATATGGCCACCAGTGTCCAGGGCCTGAGTCTGTGAGGTCTTTTCCAATGCTAAATGACTCAGTGGAATGAGAGACGGTATGATGTGTGAATACACTTGTGTGCGTCTGACAGATTGCTGAAAAGATAACAAAAGACATGGTGTTCAATATTTACCTAATTTTTAACCATCTATGGCCTTTTCCTTTTCTTGTCATAAAAGATAAAAGCCTAATGACTCTTAACATCAAAAAGTACTAAAAATAAAAAGCGAAACAGCATATGAAACGCCACTCCACACTAAGCCAGGACAATTTTTTTATTTACTGTTTGGGATTCATCGAGGGTAGAAAGAATCAGGTTACACTGATTGCATGTGTCTTATTTGTGTCCCATCCCCAAGAAGTGTGCCATACACAGTGACCCCCATCCCCTCCCTCCTCTCCTCTCCCTGCTCCCTCATTCCCCTACCCCCCACCTCATATTAGCACATCTATTACCTTCACATTAGAATCAAGTATATTGGATTCCTGTCTAGGAGAAGTTTTTTAAAAGAGAAAAGTATACATGCTTAAAAAAAGAAAAGAAAAGCAAAAAACAACCGCACATTTACTTCAGTACCTGTTCTTTTTTTTTTAGAGACAGAGTCTCACTTTATCGTCCTGGGTAGAGTGCTGTGGCAGCATCACACTCAGTACCTGTTCTTTTTTTTAGAGACAGAGTCTCACTTTATCGTCCTGGGTAGAGTGCTGTGGCAGCATCACACTCAGTACCTGTTCTTAACATCTACTGTCAGTTGGACTCACGCTAGGCAAAATCCATGCATGAAAGAACACCCAACCTGGATATATCCTACTTTAACATGGCAATAACTAAAGAAAAAAATAAAAAAAGGTAAGAGGGGAACAAAGTACTCATCAACTGAAAAGAAAAATACAAATACTAGATTCAAAAACATACTAACAGAAATAAATGGAGCTATCAATTTTTGCACCTAAGTGTGTATGGATTTCATCAGTCATAAATTAGTGTACAAAACAAATTCTGTTAAATGAACACAATCCACAGGTCTACAATTCTTCCTGGGATGTGTTGTGCATACTTAACAAACAAAATGTATACACTAACTAGAGATTTAAAAGAGCTAATATGAAGAAAAACATCTCTTTAATGCCTATGAACTAATATAAAACTAAACATGCAACATTTATGTAAGATATACAAGTATGGGATTCTAAGAGAACAAAGCTCACCTTTTCCCAATTGAGAAAGGCTCTCAAGCAGTTCAGAACCTCTCCTTTAGCGCGTTGCCTGGCGACCAACTGCATCGCATTATTTATCACCGACTGGGAGAGAAACACATCGTGCCACATGTTTGCAATGAACAAAGTCAGTTTCTCAGACTCTGGAAAATCTATGAGAAAGAAAATAACACAATAAACCTTTAAGTCAGGTCAAGCGAATATATTACAAACTAAAACTAAAAATATTATTAGCTCCTCTGGTGCCTTGCAAAGCACCCTGGAGCTGAAGGGATTGCAAATGGGTAGTCCAGATGAAGCTCTGGTTTTAGTTATTTCAAAATCTCCAGCTTTTTTTTTTTTTCTTTTTGGCCAACTTTCCTTAGTTAAATTTTAAATATAAATGTTGGAGGGGGGAATTAAACCATGTTTTGAGATTTTCCAAAAAAAAAAAAAAACAAAAAAACAAACCCACAAATCAACACAGAAGACTTCTGTGACCACATGTAGGGGGAGGGAATTCCCCACATACCGAGCAACAGACACCAGCTGGGTGTCCTCAAATCCAACTCCAACACAGAGAGCTAGGAAATACTTGAATTTACCAATTTACCATAAAGGACAGAGATGAAGACACGCACAAGCTGAGGTATAGGGAAGGGACTGGGAGCTTCCATGCCCCCCGGGCACTACCCTCCAGGACCCCAACAGGTCTGGCTGTCCAGAAGCTCCAACCCCAGTCTTCTGGGGCTTCTGTGGAGGCTTCGTTATCTAGGTATCTGACAACTGTGTAGCAATGTGACTATACAGAAGGGTATGATGTCATATCCTGTTCTGTAACAGTGTGGGTGGGAAAGGGAGACTCAGCGAGGCCTATCTGTTCTGACTCCTCTTGGCCACTCTATGAAGCTTCCTCCACGGTATGGGGCTCAACCTTTTCCACATAAGGATCTTAGAATCAAAATCAGATTAGAATCCTTCCTTGAACAGGTGAAAAGAGGACAGGTCAGAGGGACAGATTCTGTATCCTGAGGCCTAAGGCATCCCAATATTATAATTAGGGCTATGAGAATTATGAGCCAGAAACTGTAAATGAAAACATATGTAAAATACCAATAGTACACAAATACACAGCTCTGCACAAAAAAAGAAAACTCAAAGGGAAAAATTCTTTCTCAAATTTACTCAGAACCAGAATCTGCCCATTTGATATGAGTACAGGCAGTTCTATACATTTATAAGTTTAACTTACTCATAGGACACGCAAAACTTTTGATTTGAAGAAAAAAATATTCTTTATAAACAGTGGATGGGAATTCTTTTGTTATAAATAGTTTCACACTCTGGCTTGTCTCTCCTTTTATAATAAACTGAAGTATAGTTTACATACAATAAAATACACTCTCTTTAAGTAAACAATTCAATGAATTTTGATGATGAATAAATCCCTGTAACCACCATCATGATAATCTACACCATCATCCCAGAAGTTCTGTCACTCCAGCATTTGCAGTGAATTCACCTCACCCCAGACACAGAGCACCTGGCCCATGACTTTTCTCAAATACTCATGAATGGATCCGCATCCCGGGTGCTGTTTTCTGCCTGGCTTCCCTTCTCAGCACCATGCCCCTGAGATCCCTGCATTGCACGTGGCTCTCCTCACGTGAGCAGTCTCTTTCTTTGTATGGATGAAGAGTATTCGATCATTTAAGGCATTTTTTTTTTTTTTTTTTTTAGTTTTCTCTGTTCTACTTTATTGTTTGTCTCAAGAGTGGGCAGCTCAAAGTTACAGATAAGCTCACTACTCTGATCTGTTCATTTTAACCTGTAAGTACACCTGGCGAAGCTCCCGCCTATCAAGCAACTTCTGCACATGGTCTCCCTCTCCCAGGATTTTCCCCTCACACTTCACCTATGTATTTTTTGGGCATCTTCCCACCTCAAGTTCCCTTAGTAAGGAAAGCTTCCCTGACTCCTCAGACCACTGCAAATCCACCTTCCAAAGTACAATTCATTTATTCAACAGATACTTCATCATTGCCAACAACAATTCCTCTTCTGGAGTTTGAACAGAGTAGGAACAAGACAAATTTCTGTCCTTACAGCATATGCAATCTGGTGGAGGAGAGAGACAGCAAACCAGACTTAGGATATACTAAGGAGCGGTCAGCACCACGAGGAAACTAAAGGAGAATAAGGGATGCAGAATGGCTAGGGAAGCATGCAAAGGGATGGACTGAGCCACAACAAAGTCCAGGGACATGGGAAGCAGAAAGAGAGACCTGTAAGCATCTGAGCTGAGAGTGAGCTTGCTGTGGTCTGCGCTGAGCCCACGCCCCTCTCCACTCCACCACTGCTGTCTCCACGTGTTACGTGCTGTGACTGCAGCCGGCCAGCCTTGCCGACAGTCACACCTGCAGCTGACTTTGTTCTTCACAGATCTCCTAACCCTGCGCATACATGCCACAATGATGTGAGGAAGAGATGAGTGGCTGAAAGGGCAAACAAAGAAATGAAATGGGCAACTGGAACGCTGAGCAGCTTTACTTCCAACACTGAAGTGGTGGATATACTCAGCCATCCTCCTTCAAACCCCATAAACGTGGTAGTAAAAGATAAGACTTTCTGACATAATGTTGTTGCATTTTATGATTTGATATTATGAAGAATGCCTCCCGATCTGATCCATTAGCAGAGACTGAAGAAACAGCAGTGAAGAGAAGGGACACCAGAGGACAGCCCTCACGTCTCCACCTCCTTCCCAAGGCTCTCTGATCACTCTTCTCTTGGAGTTGGTGTCCTTTCTGGCTTGACGCTCATTTTGAAAGGACTTCCACAGTTTATGTAAAGTGCATCTGACTCTAAAGCAGCTGCACTGGGCACAGAACACATCCGCGACTATCACACAGTAGACAGAGACAAGCTGTAAAGGGGAAATGCATGGCTGTAAGTAAGTTCAAGTCAGTTCTCCCCGTGAAAAGCAGGAACAACTAGGTATACCTAAAGCTATTAAATGCAAAAAACATAACATCATTTTTAAAAACACACAACAATCACATAGCTGAAAATACAGATCTAAATATAACAGAGTAAAAAGGCAACAGACTATTTTGAGTACAAAAAATATCACAATATAAACATACCTTCCTTGAGTAGACTGTAGCAAAACAAGCGAGCTCTTTCCAAGTCTCCAAGTTGCCGACAAATGCCCACATACACTCTGCAGAGGGCATGAATATAATTCTGGTCTGTAGACATCTTCTGAATTTTTAGTTCTGAGAGAATAGAGTGAAGCAAGCACTCTGCTAAATGCTGGATTGGAAAAAAAAAAAGACAACGTACCTTCAGCTTACCTAAGAATAGCTAAAAGTTACAAAACATCTATTGAAAAAATAAAACTTGCACCCTATCAGCAATAACTTGTCAAAACTTGCCGAGTCTGGTAAGCCCCAGAATGGGGGCATGGCATTTGAGACAGGCCTCCAGCATCTGTTCCCTGTGCCCGGTGATGCTGCAGGTGCCAGGATGCAAGTCTGAACACCCCTGGGTGACTGCTGTCACTACCACCGCTCACACTAAATGATGATCCCTTAGGTTTGCTAAAATAATCTACCTATATGTGTGCGTGTTAAGCCCAGTGTAATTCTACTCTGGCTTGTTTTCTAAACTCTAATTTACTCTGTAAACAGTTTCAATTTTAAAATGAGGAACATTGTTCTTGCTCAGAAAGAGGAGCATTAAATGATAATATGATGCATTGTTCATTTTCTTTCAAAATTGCTTAGAGTTTTTTGTGTCCTCTGCAAATAAATATAAAAATAAATATTTATACCTACTGACTCCAAGTACATGCAGATCACCACTAAAGTTATGATCCCCTGCACACTGGAAATCACCTACACAGAGTGCCAATGGACATCCATGAATAGTCCAGAACTATTAAAACCCCAATGACCACGCATACAGATGTGCACATCACTGTGCCCTCCCCCCTATCTTGAAACTAAGCATGTGGTCCCTTAGAGTTTGTGATATACACTGCTGGGGAGTCTGTAAAACACCCAAAACACTTAACGAGGTACACACTGCTTCTAAAGCAAAAGAGATCTGTTACGTAGTAACAACTGGATACTTTGAAAGAATTAATTCTAAATCTCTAAATATGTCAGGATTGAATGGGGAAGAGCAATTTTAGTCCTGATACTTTTTTCTTTAAAATTTTAAATCATTTGAGAAATACACATTATCAAATCTCCAGTGTCTTATATTTCAAATCTATAAAAGCAAGAAATAAAGCATTTGTCATAGAGTGAAATACAACTTTTGCTCCAGGTCATCTATATACTTTGCAGACAGACTATCTTTGAGGACATGTAACTCCTAATGCACGCACAGAAATGCAACCACATACCTTTTTTGTTGTACTAAATTCACAAACAACTTCTTTTTCTTGATCTCTCATTACAGGCTTTTTGGAGATATTTCCCACATACACGTGACTGCGAATGACAGGTAACAGATCGAAGGAGAACTCTGCAATCTTCTTCAGGGCACTGGCTATGGCTTTATCATGTGACTCCACAGTCTCTTTTGGGTTTAAAGGCAACTGTGACACTGCACTGACAGTTGGACTAGAACAACTTCTTTCCTCCTCTGTTGTTACTTCGGCTTGAGGGACATTTCTCTGAAGGTTCTTGTGGATTCCTTCTGCAGAGGCCCCCCTGGTTTTTGGTTCTGGGGATCCACTGTCCAGGCGCAATCTCTTAGCGCTCCTTGGCGCAGAGACTGACAATGTTCTCTTCCCAGTGGAATTCTGCTGAGTCCCCAGATCTCTTGCTTTATCTTGGTTACAGTCGCCACCAGAGCTGCTCCCTGTTTTGACAAAAGCAGTTGATGTTGAAGTGATTGCTTTGAATCCTATCATCGCACTTACAGGCCCTGATAAATTTTTACTGTTAGTGGGTGGCCCTCGAGTGAACTGAATATTCCCTTTGAGGATGTTGAGGGTTCGGGCCCTGGCAGATAACTCAGGGTACATGGTGTCAAGGATTTTAACGGAATTCTCCTGGGGCCCTCCCACAGCAGCAGGCCCAGATGCGCAGGGCGGCAGTCTGCCAGGCACAGGGAGTGCGTGCTTTGGCGTGGCTGCACAGAACTGCAGAGGAGACGACACTATCCTCTCACCTGCTGGTGCAGCAGACGGAGATGGAGAAGGGCCCGGAGGAGAGGTGCGCCTGGACTCTTCTGGCCATGAAGACATCGCAGGAGGAACTGGGATTTCACAGAAGGGAGACATCGGGCCGACGGGAGAGGCTGGTGAGGAAGGACTAGAACTCGCTGGCAGGGGAGAAAGCGGCTGTGAAGTCCTTGGCGGTGTGGCTATCAGAGGGGCCAGCAGAGGAGGCAGAGGCGGCCCCACTTCTTGCCGTATTTTACTCAGCGTGTCAGGAGAACAATCTGTAGATGTATCAGCATTTGCTAAAATAGTCTGAGTTTGACTTCTTTGAGTTTTTGTATTACCTTTTTCCCCTGAAAATGACTGAGAAACTTCACTCTGATGAGCTTCAGCTCTGCTTGAAGTCTTTACTGCTTTGTGTGATTGATCTTTACTTGAACTCTTCGACCGATTTTTACATTTGCCAGATGACTCCAGTTTCGAGTTATAATATGTGTGATCAGATGGCATAGTCTGGGAGTCAAAGTCTTGATCGTATATTAGAGAACTAACCCATATACTAGGTTTAACGGGTCTATTCCGCAAACGACTTTTATCAAAGTTGGTGCTCTGACCACTGCTTGAAACAGCTTGTTGGGGGCATGAAAGACTACTGCCACGTGGAGGTTCTTGAGGTTCCTGAATTGGAGGGCCAGCATGACTGCCCTCTGGGGACTTCTCAACAGAAGTCACTGTGGCACAACCAGCTTCTAGTCCTCCTTGGTCCTGAGAAACAGGTAGATCTCCAGGAGCGTCACACAGTGTGACCTGGTCCACATGTGGAATGACGGCCACACCACTGATGACTGTCCAGTTGTCCCCCTTCTCGATGACTAAATTCTGATCCTTATTGATCAGCACATTTATAACTTCTGAGGTCACAGTCGATATCTGACACTGAAATGTCGTCTCGACCTCACAACTAGCACTTTGCTCTATCACTGTCTCTACTGTGTCATCCACACAGAGGGCTTCCACCTCTGCCGGCTCCACCTCTACCTGCAGCTCGTCCCCACCATCTGCCTGTCCACTGGCATCTGCGCTGTCCTCTGGCTGGCTCTGAGTGTTTTCATCACTAGGTCTGCTGCTAACAGGAGAATTGTCTCTGGGGTCCAAGTCGGCCTCCAGGAGTGGTGGTTCGGAAGCATGTGACAAGCTGCCCACCGCCTCCTGAGGTGGGACTTCCTCTCTGACACTGTCAGCTGTCATGCTGTCCTGTTCATTTAAGAGCAGTACATTACCAGGGTCTTTACCATTACCATCTTCATGATGTGTCTGAAGTTCCTGCCCAATTTTGGTGAGAACCTCAGACAGTGTTTCCAGAGAACATGGAGTGAGCTGGCTTGTGTTTTGCAAAGAATAATCATCTTCTGATTCAATCCATTCTTCAGAAGTTCCAAGGGTTTCTTCTTCACAAAGCTGCTTTCCACATTTTTCTCCCAATATTTCATTTTGCTTTGATTCTTTGCTCATTTCTTTACTTAGGGATTCTTTACTAGAACATTCTGAAACAGAGTCCCCTGAACTACAATCTCTTAACTGACAACTCTCAAGAAACATAACAACCTCTGATGTGGAGAGTCTGTCCAGCTCAGTGAAAGCACTTAAACTGAAATCTTGCAAAGCTGAGGTCAAATAACCTACCTCTAAAGAAGGCCTGGCCTCGGCCTCACCAGCACCAGCACCTCCTGCACCCTCCTGGGGGTCTGCAGGTGCACCGTGCTGCCTGCCCCCCACCACAGCTTCAGGCTCCTGTTCCCCCTCACTGCAGCTGGGGCCCTCACTCTCCTCTACCTCGGTGTCCTCCCTTTCCTCCCGAATGCCTGTATAACTACATAACGTGCCAGCAAGGCCGTTGGGGGTGGTATCTTGCACCTCTCCAACTTTTCTGCAAAACGCTGGAGACAAAGACGTGCCTGTAGTGACCAGACATTTGGGAAGCGCCCTGCCAGGAGTTTGAGATTCCAACTCCAGAAGTTCATTAGCATTTTGCTGAGGACTAGGAGGACTGTCTGCATCAGCCAGGGCCTCACAGGGCTTCTCTTCAACTGGAAAGCCTCCCAACACTGTCACTTCTGTGGCTGCAGGCTCAGTGCCACCCATCCCACTCAAGTCTGGATCTGTGACCTGAGGAAGCTGCCTTTCCTTCTGCACCACAGCTTCTCCCTGCTCCTCAGCTTCCCTCAGGGCATCTTGGTTTTGGACACAGATGCTTTCAGAAGAGAAAGATAATTCAGTATTTGTGGAACAATCAGAATTTTCTACTGGCAGAGAACCACTTGGAGAACTGACATCTGACTCTTCCCTGGAGGTAGGCCCTTCTGGGGAAGCGCTCCTGACGGCAGCCGCCTCCCTGCTGTCCTGTGCTGCGCTGTCTCGCTCCCCGCCACACTCTGCTGCGAATGGCATGTGGTCAGCTGCAGCATCGCTGTGGTCAGCTGCAAGGGTGGGCTCGTTCCCGCGGAGGCTCCCATGTTCCAGTTCAGCACCTGGTATCTTCTCGGGTCTTGCCTGCTTTGTGATAACTGACACCTGATTAGACAGCAGCGAGGCAGCGAGCCTGAACTCCACAGCGTTCTTTTTCCTGGGAGGAGAGAGCTCGGGTCCAGAGCCTTTACTCTTCAGGGATGGTGATGCTTTTCGCTCATGTTCCGACTTAGCTCTGACACCTCTCCTTAAGACATCACTCTGGTGCCATGAAGTGCTTTTTACAAAGCCCAGACCAGCCTTGACCAGGCCGGCCCGAAGGAAGTCTGGCTTCCTTAGGGTGAGCTTAGCTCTTGGGTCTCGACTCTCACATTGCCTGTCTCCTGCAGCTATCGTAAATACTGACGGGGTAAGTAAATTTATCTTGGTCATGCCTTTTACAACTTTTGCACATTCTATCTTACTGCTCTTCTGATCATTAAAATGAGATGCTCTTAATTCAGGGCTCACAGCATGCAAGGTACCCGCCTGGCTGTTTCTTCCCATGGAACACTCTGGTGGCTCAGATGGCAGATGTAATGTGCTTAAAGTTTTAGTTTGTAATTTTTGTTTTGAATGATGCAGTTCTGCAGGGAACATGTTAGTTGGAATATCTATATCATTAACAGACTGCAACCCAGAAAATGACTGGGGGTTGCTACACACAGACAAAGCTACTGAGGTAGAAGAGGAGGAAACACTGGCGTCGACATCGAGCCCTTCTGTGTCTACTGTATCACTGTCATTGTCTGATTCAGGGGATTCTCCCAAAACAACCCCTTGCATATCTTCTGTTTGCGTTTCCATATCTCTAGATGCTCTCTGAAAATGGTCAGAACCTGTTCTACAGATTGATTCAGAAGTTATTTCATCAGTTAGCGTCCACTTAGTCAACTCTGATTTGGGGGACCCTATTGCTTTGGACGATAGGGTTTCTCCTTCAGATTCACTGAGTTCATGCAATGGCCTCTTGCCAAGGGGAGAAAGCCACAGTGCTGATGCTGCAGGGGCAGCGTCCACCCCCTGGGCGGGGCTGCCAGGTGACTTTTCGAAGCCCAGGCTTGGGGGGCGCTCGGGAGATGTCCGCTCAGTTTGCACCCACGTGTCCTTCTCCCTCAGCTCTGTCTGTGTTTTTGCCTCTTGTAAAATTTCTCCTTTTCTATCACTGACAAATTGAGATGACACTGTCCAGTGTTTTTCATGGGCTAAAGGTGCTCTCAGTGTTGCTGGTAAAGTCTCCAATCCAAAAGTTGCCATTTTATTTATTTCCAATGCACGTAGAGCTTGGGTATGTCCGTGTGATTTGGACTTATTCTCCCATGTGCCACTTTCTTTATTTTTTCGGAATGAGCCAAAACAATTCTGTGATTCTGTTGTATCATCTTCTGAAACATACTCAGTAGAACTTCTAGGCTGGGCTGAGTCATTATCGCTAGAATCTGTATATTCTCCAAAGTAAGTTTCCTTTAAAAAAAAAAGAGAGAGAGAGAGAACTATACTAGCAAAACACTAATGTAACAGACTAAACAAGACTATCGATTAAATGCATTAAAACAAAATTAAGTTCACCCTTCCCAAAGAATACTGAAATCACATCTAAGGAAGGGCAGTTTAGGCTCTTGGTATCTGATAGTAGGTAGGGAGTGTTCCCTCTCTGGCACAACTCTTCTCTCCCCAGGAGCCACCCCTCCAATATCAGACACCCTCCCAAGACCCACACCCTACTACTCCACACAGGACTGAGGGTTACGTTTGTTCTTTTAACTTTTAAACATTCTTATTTAATTCATTCATTTCATATATATTTTGTGCCAGGCACTAGAAATAAGAACAAAGAATTAAGACACAGGCAACTTATACTTTGGTTGTGGATAAAGCCAAATAAAAAGGGAACCATAACTCAAAGTGAAAAACTTCAGGCCAGGCACAGTGGCTCAAACCTGTAATTCTACCACTTTATAAGGCTGAGGTAAGAGGATCATTTGAGGACAGGAGTTTAAGACCAGTTTAACCAAGAATAAAACCTCATTTCTACAAAAAAATCATAAAATTAGTCACATATGGACATAGGTGCCTATAGTCCCAGCTACTTGGGAAGCTGAAGCAGAAGGATCACTTGAGCTTAGGAGTTTCATGCTATAGTGAGCAAAGATGATGCCACTATACTCTAGCCCAGAAAACAGAACAATACCCTATCCTAAATTTAAAAAAAAAATCATACTGTATATGTTGATCTGAGGGGTAATGGCATTCCTTCTTAAACTTTCACGTTACCCCTTAATAAAACTGGCTAAAATTAATAGTCTTTGCCAGAATATCACTAATAATCCTTTGAATATCAATGACATGTTAGGCTAGACAATGTAACCATATGGTAATTCAGATTCAGAGAGAAAAACTCACAGGTGCAAGTGAAGAAGGTGAGGAAGCCGGATGTGACGATGCCATCAGAGGCGGGGAGGGCACTGGGGACAGAAGTGGAGGGGGAAGTTTGAAGAAGTCAATTGCAGCTTGAAGATCATCATCAAAAAAATGATCATGGTCAGAAAAGTCAGTACTGTCACCATCATTGTGACTCTGCATTAAAACCTCAGGATTCCCATCCTCCTCACAAACACGGTTCGCACTGTAATGTGCTCCGCTGAGTCTCTCTTTTTCCATACTTTTATATGAAGGAAAGTCCCCCTCTATCTCCATGGACAATTTTGTGAGGCATGTCTGCACATCTGAGGTCCTGAGGGGATCCCCCTGTGCTGGAGGTAGTGTGCCATCTTTCCTGGGTACTCTGGATCTGGTATTTTCTATGGCAGGTTTTTCTGTGGAAGGGTAAGAAAGTAGATAGTAAATATTTACAATCTCAAGAAAACTTAAAAAAAAACCCTCATTCTAAGAGTTTAAAATGCTTGCAATATTAAATCCAAGAGGAAAACATTTTTATGTCTACTAAATTGTTCTTCATTTTTTTATTGACACAAAACAATTACACGTTATTTGGGGTTACACGGGATATTTTGCTACAGGCACACAACGTGTAACGACGAAATCAGGGAAACAAGGTCATCTGTTACTTCAAACATTTGCCTTCTATCTTGGGAAGATTCCAGTTCCTTTCTTCTAGCAATTTTGAACTATACAGTAAGTTACTGTTAACTACAGTCACCCTTTTGTGCTATCAGACACTGCATCTTCTTCCTTCTAATTGTATTTTTATACTACTAACCAACCTCTCTTCATCCCATCCCTACCTTTTCCATAAATAGAAACATTTTTCACAAGGCAACCTACTGCCTTGGAAACATTACCCTAGAAGGTGTGACTATATTTCGTGCAAGTAAGCTACTTGTGCAGTAGGGAAGGAGAGCCAGACAGGCAGGAGGATGGATGCGACAACACTCCAGCCCATCAGTGTTAACGCACAGTTGAAAGGGATCCACAGAAGTGGTAACTCACTCATTCTCTTGGTCAATCTTACCCTACAACTAGCAGAATGTGGCAGAGAAACAATTTTGTGTGTTATATCTTAAAAGGGATGCTATTTTCTCTAGACAAAAAGTAATCTAAAATCAACCAATATCAAGCTTACCCACGGCTACACTATACAATGCTCTAATTCAGAGACCGAACAAGCTTACATGAATACTTCATATAATAATGCAACAGAAAAGTTCCTATAAAAATCCAATCCTCTGAGGTCTTGATTTTGGTGAACTTCAGTGATACTATTTATTTGCAAAGACATATGGGTCCCTGACAATTTGTGATATATGAAAGCTTAAAAAAAAAAAACTTTTACAAAGAGTCCAGGGTTCCTTAGAGAAGTGGTTGATTATATAGTGAGAACAGAAAACACAAGTTGAGACTGAAAGATCTTGAGACAGCAGAAAGGAAAGTATTCAAAAAGAGGGAGAATGTCTGAAGGGCCCGCAAGCCAAACTGAAGAGCTTCCCACCAAAGCTATGGCAACGTGAACAACAGATAAGGGCAGTAAATCATAAGGTGCAGAGTAAGACAAGCATCTACGACACTGTGCCCACGTAAACAAACAAACAGGTTTATAAATAAATGGGTGGTGCACAAAGGACAGCTCTTCTTTACAGAAGAATTCTAATTAGTTAATACAGAAGGAATGAGAGAAATACAAAAACCGCTATTTGGCATACAGCAGCTAAGACCCAGTGATGGATGCTAAAATCAGTGGGTGACGACTTGACAGAAACAGAACATTTGCATATTACCAAAGTCTCTTTCTCAAGTTATTAGGAAAAAACAGTAACTTTTTGATAAAGAAACCTACAGACAAGACTTTAAGCAAGTGATCAAGGTTACTGTCCCCAGAAGTAAGACCCCCCCCCCAGCAGCATGTCCCAAACAGAGGGAGGGTCTGCAGGGCTCTCCCCATGAACACCCAGCCTCAGTCTACAAATGAAAACGTCAGACAAGCTGGAAGGATGGGCTTTCTAGAAAATACTACTCTCCCCAAGTATTAAAGACATGGAAACGAGAAAAGGCTGAGCAGCTGTCAGCCTGAGAAGATGAGGCACGACTACCAAAGGCAACAGGGATCCTGGACCCTGGAAGGGATGGAGGACGTCAGGGGAAAAACTGGTGAAACCTACAGGTTTGTTCACAGGATTGTAGCAAATGCTCTGGTTTGGTCCTTGGTAATGGAAAATGTGAAAATTTAGAAAATCTGGGTAGAGTCCAGGGAAATTCTCTGAACTACTTTTGTAACTGTTTACGTATGAAAGTAACAAGGTTTTTAAAAGAAATATGCTCTATGATATAGTAAGATTCCAAAATACTGTATTTTCCCTTTCTGCCTTGGAAAAATTAACATAAGTTAACAGATTCAAAGCTGTGCTTTTAAATAAAAACATCAGATTATTAACTAAGGAATAGCGCTTTTAATAGCATCATAAAATCAAGTGTTTAAAACAAACTACAGACTGACCCCAGGCTGCTGCTGCCTAAACGGAGAAATTCTGAACTGAAGGGATGAATTTAGGGGTTATAGGCACCAGCTGGTAACTCTCAATGGTATTACTCAGTAAGTTAACTGAGGAAAAATCTACTTAAAGGAACCCCATCAAATATGCCTTTGTATACCTGACCAGTTCTAAATTCAGCATAAATGTGAATCAGTAATTTGCCTATTAATATTTTTCTGAGGCAACTTTGTCTTCAGAGGCCTGAGAGGAAAATTAGACACATTTCTATAGATTCAGATCGTCAATGATCTGTGAATTCACAGCGGCTAATCCTAAGAAATTAGTGAGATGACAAAAAGTTAACGAATAAGCACTTTAATCTTATAAACAAGAAATTATCTTCTACTTTTCCTCTCTTCCAGATAGGTATTTGGCTAATACCAATTTCCCAACCCTTAATCAACTATAACTGTGAACTTGGCAGAATGTGCCTGTGACATTTTACTGCAAATCAAGACGTTCAACCAAACTGTAGTTACATAAAAAGTAAATGAAGCCCCGCTGCTGAGGGGTGGATCTGATGCAGGAAAGGGTGTAAAACACTACGCGTCCTCCGCGTCTTCTCTGTGTACCGGCCCCGCGTGCCTCTACTGTCTGGCCAGCTTCTCTGAATGTTCTCTGAGGAAGACGCTCTTAAAAAATGAAAAGCTAAATCTATTTAATGAGCATAGAAGGCACAATGAAGAGAAAGGGATTCTGTGTAATTAAAGTCCCCATTCTAGTTTATTCCATTCTTTTAATGTAGAATCCAGAGTCCTGAAAACTAGAGTCTGCAGTATCTACAGCAAACCCTTCCGTTTCCCTGTACAAGTGCACGTCTAAGAGCTCCACTCTCACCTGGGACGTATCCGCTGCCCTCGCCAGGTAGTCTATGGGTTGTGTTCACACAGAGCCAGAGTTCCTTGAGAAGCAGTTTCACTTTTCCTGTGAAAAAGAATAAAACATTAAAGACATCGTTTGGCTCAACATACATAAGGCTAAAACATACCTCTGTGAAGTCAGGGTTTATTAGGGACTTAGAAAACTAGGTAACTTAAACATCTTCCCCAAATTCAACCATTCATTAATGCAAAGACTGAAACATTTTAGACAAATTAATCTTTAGCCTACATAGCATTTCCTCCATAAAGTATGGAGGGGGAAAGAAGCCATGAATGACCAATATAACAAGGAATTTGGGCTCTAAAGGGTTCTATGAAGAAAAGCAGAGAAGCACCCCACAGTTACATGAGGCTGTGAGCAAAGTCATCAGAGTTGACCACAAAGTAATTAACCTGGTGGGGCTCACAAGTCATAGAAAGTCCCTCAGTGGAAATGAGGAGGAAGAGGAGACGTGTGTGTGTGCATCTGTGTGTGTGCGTGTACACATGGAGAGGGCGGGTAACCCCACACACAAGCTAACCCTGTGTGTGTGTGTGTGTGCGTGTACACATGGAGAGGGCGGGTAACCCCAC